CGCCTCGTCCCCCCCCCCCCCCGTTAGATCTGAGGGCAACAAGAGATGCCTCCTTAGGTCCCCTCCAAACGCCAGCAGGCGGACTCCAGCCCCCTTGCCAACTGCATTCCTTCACAAAATGCTGCATTAAGACAAGCCCCAGGCAGGCACTCACCCCCAGTATCACCCTTCTAACACCTATACAGACACTGCTCCTCACAGACTCAGGTTCGAATCCCATCTAGGCAAGAATGTGCGGTGTGATCCTGAGTCCATGCCTTGCTCTCTCTGAACTTCAGTTTCCTCACCAAGGAGAGACAGGTATACACACAGATGTGCCGGGAGATGGATAACACTTTATTTGCCATCCAACGTCCCAGGCCTCCGCCCACGCCATGCCCACACCCGTGGTTTCTGCTCAGAAGATCTTCACCGACTCCAGCTGCACGTCCCCGCCCACCTCCACGAGGCGCACGAGCTCTGTGGGAATCCGGTGGCGGAAGTGGTGGTACTGCGAGTCCCCGACCACCGTCTGCAGGGAAAAGGGTCAGTGTCAGGACCTGTCCGACTCTGGCAAGGCACCGTGTGACCCTGGGCAAATCACAAAACCCTCCTGGGCCTCAGTTGTGCCCTAGGGAAAGTGGGCCGGTTGTTAATTCTAGCTCGTTGGCCTGGGGGGGTCCACTGACATTACTGTTGGGCACGGAAAAGAAGTGCTGTCCTTATCATAATTTCCGCATCCATTGTCCTGCTACCGAAGTGTGGTTTTTCTTTTAGATTTTAAAAATAATTATTTATTTAATTGTATTTTGTATTCTTTTAAAATTAGCTGTAGGGCAAGTGTGCTTACCAGAGAGAGGCAGTGGGTGGGGTGAGACAGCAAGCTGCCAGGTCTAGGATTCAAACCGTGGTCAGCCATGTGAGAGTCCAGTGCTTTAACCACCACGCTATCTGTTCCCCCTCCTTTTTTAATCTTTTTTTTTTTTTTGAAGAGGTTTTTGCTATAGGGCGCGTGTACTCGCCAGACAGAGAGAGAGAGAGACTGAGAGACAGAAAGCAAGAAATCACCCCCCAGGGGGGATGGCCACACCGCAATCCCTTCTCCTCCATTCTCCTCTCGGGATCTTGGGCACGCACGCACACGTGCCTGGCGTGAGTTTTAAACCACCTGGTCCGGGACGTGAACCTGGGTCGACTATGCAGGAGTCCAGCAACATAGTCATTACGCTAACTGCTGGTCCCGCCCCCCCTTTTTTAAGAGACATTTTTGCTATAGGGTGTGTGCCCTTGTCAGAGAGACAGAGACAGAAAGGGGGGTGATTTCTCCCCCACACACCAATTCCTTCTACTCTGTTCTTCTCTTGGGATCTTGGGCATGCACACACATGCACCCAGCATGGGTTTTTGTTTTGAGAATTATTTTATTTAACTTTATTTATTAGTAGTAGAAGTATTTATTTTGACCAGTGAGAGACAGAGAGAAAGAAAAAATGAGAAAGCTCCTGGTGTGAGTTTTAAGTCACTGTGCCCAGGACTCAAACTGTGGTCAACTACATGAGAGTCCAATATGGCCCCTTGGTTTAGATTTTTCCAGAGGGCCTGTCGGGATATGAGAGCTCCACCCTACATGATTTTTTTTTTTCAAGCAGCTGGGTGGGGACTCGAACCACAGTCTGCCACAAGGGATTCAGTCGCCTTAACTATCACCACTAGCAGGCTTGAAGCCACCTTTCAAGTGGTGAGTGGCCCGGATGGTGGAGGCCTGCACATCCACTTCCCACCAGGACGTGTCCCTGGGTGCCCTCTCCAGCTCACCCCGACTCCTGCTGCAGGGCCCTGACCTCAGGATGGATGACCAGGGGTGGGTCCAGGGTGGCTAGTCGGGGCCCACGCCCTCCCGCTAGGACCCGCCGTCTGGGCACTCGGCTCTCGCTCACCCAGCCCTGGCCCCCCCACAGTGCCGCCCTCTGACCGCACCGGCAGTGGGCTGGGCAGACAAGTGAGAGGGTGCGGGGGACGCCCCTGCCCGCCTCGGCCTCGCCTTTGCCTCCTACGTCCTCCGCAGGCCTAGCTGGCTTCCCCAGTCTCAGCGCCCGCCCAGCCCTCTGCCAGGGACCCACGCCTTGGTGGCATTGACCCATGGCAGAGACCTACCTTGAAGCCTTCATCGGTGGCGATGAGGAGCACCTCGAAGGGCACCCCACGTTGGAAGGGGACGCCAGAGCCTCGCTCCTCCGTGCCCCAGCTGCCTCGCTGCTTGCTGTTGAAGACCACCTCGGCCGTGTCCAGCCGGGGGTTGAAGTGCAGGGCGGCGTCTGCGCCCTCCTCCTCGCTGCACAGCAGGTTTACATGGAACCTGGAAGTGGCAGGCGTGGGAGTCAAAGCTCAGGACCCACGAGGACACTTGGGATGATAGACAGGGACTCCCCATTCCAGAACACTCGGTATTACAGGGATCTGAAAGCACCACATTCCAGGGAAGCAGGGACGTCCTGGTTCTGGCCAGGGAGCCCAGAGTCCCAGGACACCCACAAATTTAGTGGGGCCCAGAGTAGACAGGGCACACACATTCCAGAGTCTGGGAGCTGCCAAGCGGTCAGGGTGCTGACAGCCAGGGAAGTTCACATTCAGGGAGTCCCCCCGCCACAGGGCTAGGAAGAAGACCAAGGTGGTCCCGGGTGGCCCAGACCCCTAGAAGGCCTGAAGTTCCTAGTCCTACACAGTCATAGGCTTGCTCACTAAACCTCCAGGGCACCCCCAGATCACAAGGCACATCCCAAGTCCTGGGACTCTAGGTAAGAGCCCAGGGATGTCCCGGAGCCCAGGCGCGAGGGAGATCGGGCCCAGCCGTAAGGATATGGGACACAAGTGAATCCATCAGATTTCAGAAGGTCAGAAATGCCTGGGGATGCCAAGACCACCAGACCGAGGTGGCCCTGGGACCCCCGTCTCTGGGCTATAAGAACTGGGGTGTGGCTGATCCCGGAGACCTCCCTCCCCACCCCAGGTCCTGGGCTCTCACCTGCTGGCCTTTTCAGGAACGACGCCTCGAATCTTGAGCACAGTGCCTGGGCGGATGCCCTCGGGCAGCGAGGTCTTGTGGGGCACACTCTGCAAGAGCAGGGTTTGGGGGACATGAGCAGGGAGGCATAGGGAGGCACGGGGGGTCACCTGGGAAGGAGGGCAGCTCAGACCGAAACCAACAGGAAAGAGTTGGAGAAAGTGGTAGGGACAATGGAGAGAGAAAGAAAGAAATCCTGACAGAAAAGTGTTCAGAGAAAAAGCGAGAGACGCCACAAAGAGAGATATAGGGCCGGTGGGGGCAGGGGAGCCAGCATAGGCCAAAGCCCAGGGCAGCTCACCGCACACCCGACACCCAAGTTCTCCTTTGACAGGGGAGACCTGAGCCACGCCCTGACTCTGCCTCCCGGCCCAGCCTTGGCCCACGACCCCCGGCCCTGGACACTCACGAAGTTCCCTGACATGGCTGCGACAGTGGCAGAGGTGCAGTGGTAGCGGCAGGCCTCCTGGGGGACTTTAAGTAAAAGCGGACCAGGGTTGGCCCTGGTGATTCATCCTGCCCTTCCCGCCCACCACCCACACCTGGCACAGACCCTGGCCCTGGGGCAGGGCAGGCAGGGCGGGCCCTGCACCCTCCTCTGGGAGCTGGATCTGCACTGGTTGATGGGTCCCAGGCACACGGCCCTCCTGGGTGGCCTGGTGGTGGCCGCAGACAGTATAAGAACACCCAGGCTCCCTGGGCCAGCCCACCAGCCCTAGTTTCTGTCATCTGCCGAGACAAGACTCCTGCTTTCACTGCTTAGACGTGTCGGGTCCTGAGAGGCCAGGCTGGGGCTGGAACTGCAGACCCTTCTTTCCCGGCACACTCTGACTGCCCAGGGCCCACAGCCTCTCCGCCTAAATCCCAGCTCCGGCCTCCCTCGG